TCCTTGACAGCGGAATTGTTACGCACCATGCTTCTTGTTCAGGTCTTGCAGAATGAAAGAGAGTTTGCCGCTGAATTGTGCCCTCATGAGCCAAAGATCGGTCCAGTGTGCCCAGAAAGGTCCTGGAATGTGTCTCATCCGTGCATAGTCACGTACTCGGCAGATGACCAGGTACGCAGTCCACAGCACTGCGGCGACGGATGCCACGGTAGTAGCAGAATACTGCATCTTGAGCTCTTGACCCGGCTGATGGGCAGCTGGGCAGGCGCAACCAAGCAAAAAGCAAGCTCAATTGGCAGAGGATGGGAGCACAAGACGGCCCTGGTGGTGAGACAGGGGTTGGGATGAGAGGGGCAAGGGCGCGAGATGTGACCTTTGTCGTGGCGGCACCCGGAAAACGGGCACCTGGCGACCTTGGTTGTTGACAAACAACTCGCTGCGCCGCAAAGACTTTGCTCTGCCGGTTGATAGCTGTCAGATTTTAATTGAAAGCGGCAGGTGACCGGATGTACGGACAGTAGACTTTGCGACGCTTACTAGGTCGTCGCACAAAATCCGAGGTCTGTAAGCCTGAGCGGGTTCGGACGGCGTCTGATAGTGTGATGCGTTCGAGCACGTCTGAGGGCCAGGATAATTGTTTCGATGATGTATTGTGCGTTTCTCAAGCGACGTGCTGACTGCACATACTAGTGAGTACCTTCGACTGAAAAAGAAAGACCAATCCTAAATATGCAGCCTTGCTGGGGGTTCGAGAAGAGGTGAGTCGCGAGTTGCAAGGTGAGGATTTGAGGTCCACGGGCGTGAAAGTTAGCTGCAGAAGTAACATGAAAAGCAGAAGGGCCTGTCAGAAAAAGAAGACGGGAACAGTAAATACGAAAAGCCCATCTCGAATATCCCCTGCTTTGAAATGGCACCTTGATATAATCCTGCATCTTCGCGTGAGCTAAAGGTGACATCTTGCCCAATGTGTGCTGGCGTAGCACTGTGGCAGGCCGTCACGATGCATCAACGGCCGCCGGCAAATACGGGGCAGCAAATCGAGTGCGAGGTGCTTGCTGACAGGCAGCAGCAATCTTTCCAGTTTGTGGATATGTTTCCGTTGTAAGAGATGGGAAGCTGCAAGAGAAGACGACTCCCGACCAGGATGGTGACATGGATGTTGGCGATGTTGCGGTGCTAGTGATGCACACAACCTGTAGCTTTGCTGTTCCCCGGCGTAGGGCATCTCACTGAATTCATTTGTCTCTCCAATGTTTGCGACAGAGACACAAAGGCACTGAACTGTGCATCCGTTTAATGCCGTAAGCCTTCGGGCCTTTTTCAGTCTAAAGACGTTTCAACTGGAAGTTGTTTGGTCCCATGATGCCGTTTGAATCCGAACTAATGATTATTGTTCCATCTCACAGTTGCGACGGTGTTCTTCTCCGTGCCCTTGGTCTCGGGATTGACCCCATGTGCCTAACGCATCGGCCACAACATCCGCAACGGGCTCGGGTAACGGTGGGTGGGAACTGTGGCGCATCTCTGTTCGCTCGGTGAAGAGCCCCTGGCAGCTTCACTTATCCTGCATGGGACAAGAGCTCGCCTTCATTGAAGCCATACCGAAGATGAAATGAGCTGTGTTGTTGCCCATGGGTCAGTGGGTGGGTTTCCGGGCCCCAGCAGTATTCTTTCGCAAGCCAAAGCACCTTCGATGCCCTCCTCCCCATCGTCTAATGTTCTTCCCTTGCAATTCAAGCGCCTTACATTGTCCCCCACTCGACCCCCGAAGATGGCGGGGTTCCGGTGCTGTGTTTCGGCCAGCCAGAGCGTCATTCGTAACACACCGAGCACCTAGACTCGAAATCAAACGGGTATTGATACGGGCCGCTTATGAATGATGCAGTGGGCGATGAATGCATTTGATGAATTGACAATGGCTTGAATGAAAATAAACTTGGTATTAAATTTCCCCCGTGGCCCCGTTCCTCTTGCCGACAGCCCAATGGGCATCGCTGAGAAAACTGTTCGGCCTTGTCTGGACTCCTCATGTCATCATCTTCATGCAGCTACTAGTCGAGCACCTTGGAACCGCCTTAGTGTCAGAGTCCCTTGAAGACGCAAGACTCTGTCGGTAAACCACGCGATGCAACCCGGACCGTGGGCCTTCTCGCTTCGCTGCCGTCTGTCTCTCCTGCGCAGTCTTCATCCCCGTTTGGCCGCATCACATCACACCGCACTACAGACGCGAGGCCCCTAATTCCGCAGTAGTGTCTCCTCGCACGTACGTTGAGTCGGCGAGAGACGTCTGCAATCTGCAGTCTATGTATCACAAAAAATGCCTAGTTGACTGTTGCCTGAGGCTGGTCTGCCTCTTATTAAAGACATATGACATTTTGCAGCCCGCTAGGCGTAACCACTCCTCTTCTCCCTGCGTCTGCTTCGGCCTCCTTTGATCTTGATGTTTTCCTCTCTGGCAGTCTTTGCCTCTAATTCTCCCGCTTGAGTCTCTTCGCAGCTGTCTGATGCTGCATCGGGATACTTGGCAGCTCATTCTTCTCAACACAGCCACTTCGGACCCCATTCACAGTTCCGAACAATTGTGAATCCTCTCAGTGGAAGCTCGCGCCATGGTCGTGTCTCCGCCGCAGTCCCCGGTCTCCCCGGTCTCTGCCACAAACGCCCACCAAAGGCCCGCCGAATCCCCTAAAACGGCCCCAACTCCAGCACCGCGGCCAGAAGACGCCTTCTCGCCGCCACCGGAATCTTCATATGCATTGGCGTCCGACCAGGAGCCAGCGCCGCAGATTGTGAGTGAAGGCTGCATGCTAGCTTCATCCATGGACATCGTCCTCGGAGGAAAAATACTAACCTGCTAATAGGAAGCGGACGCAGTCGACAATTCTGACACCGATTCGGCTCTCGGCGTTGTTAGTCTACCATATTTCCATCATTTACCCGCCTCTCCGCCCCTTGTTGCCCCCTGAAGACTCCTCCACTGCGACTCCAACAGTAGCCACTCCCAGAGCGCGTACAGAAGACGCACTGGAGACATCTGCGAGTCATCCGAGCAGACCAATCGTTTTTCTGCCTTTTGATATCCCGGCAGCGTCACGCATCGGACCACAAACCTTCTTCGCTAGCCAAGGAGTTTGCCTGCTGATTCCCGTTGCTTAGCCTTTCCGCGATTCGTTGACATCGCTGCGGTCAAGCATTCGCCATTACCAGCACGAAAATGGCCGTACGTATCATGCCATGAGTGCGGGAAGTAAGTGATGGTACGTTGTCAGTCCGCAGCGTGCCGAACTGACCGCTTCCTCAGAATATTTCCTTCCAAACGATGAGGTGAGATTTTGATCAGTGCAATCGAACCCCGGTTGTCGGTAGTGATTAACACTTTCATTCGTGTTGAAAGTCGGAGGTCGACAGGTTGGGTAGGAATTCTCCGCACCGCATCTGGGTCACCGTGGCTGACTGCTGCACAGATTTGCAGCATTATGTGATGACTCTTACGATAGGAGGCAATCACTGCCTCTGCCCGAAAAATATGGGTGCCAAAAGAGTGCTTGATCTCGGAACTGGCACCGGAATCTGGTCCATGGAGTATGGTAAGATGGCCTCTCCTCGCACAGCCCGCCCACTCAAGGCGAGATCAAGGTCTGACATGATTCTGACAACCACCAGCGGATGCGCATCCTGATGCTGAGGTAGCACTTACACGTGTCAGAATTTATGCCACTGGCTGACAGTATGGCAGGTGATTGGAGTCGATCTTAGCCCCGTCCAGCCAGACCTGTGAGTTGCCCTCCATGCACGTCTTGCCAGTTGCGCCTCGCTCATCATAAGCAGTGTGCCCCCGAATTGTTCTTTTGAGGTATGTTTCGGAAAAACGAGACCGTTATTGAGTTTCGTCTGACACGATGTCACAAAGCTCGATGATTTGGAGAAGGACTGGACATGGTCACGACCATTCGACTTCATCTTTTCTCGCATGATGACAGGCAGTTTTGCAGACAATAGAAGTATCGTCTACAAGGCTTTTGAGTGAGTTTTCCTGTGCGGGCCGTTGGGTTGGTCGACTACTGATAGATACTCTCTGAAGCGCCCTGGAGCCAGGCGGCTATTTCGAGGCCCAAGATATGGCTCTTCCTTTGGGTTGCGACGATGGGACACTATCAGTTGATTCAGACCTTTGGAAATGGGTCCTCCTGGTAATGGAAGGTATGGCGAAGTTTGGTAGACCTGTCACCGCTGCGGAGCAGTGGAAACAGCTCATGGAAGAAGCCGGTTTCGAAGACGTTATTGAGACCATCTATAAATGGCCCACAAACCGTTGGCCTCGAGACAAGCATTACAAGGATCTTGGCATGTGGAGCTTAGAGAACATGGACCAGGCCCTTGAGCCAGCCACGCTTGCTCCCCTCACAAGAGCTCTTGGCTGGAGTTACGAGGAGGTTATCGTTCTAGTCAGCAAAGCCAGAAAGGTATTGAGAGATACGAGCGTACACGCATACTGGCCGATGTAAGGTTTCCCTTCTGAATACAAGGCCATACTCAGTGCTAATATGAGGCTGCAGATACATCGTTCACGGGCGAAAGCCGTATAGAAGGGATAAGAGCAGGGCGTGAAAAGAAAAATACACAAAAAGGTTCAGAATACGCAGAACACGAGTCGACTTGCGGATGGCCCGAGTCGCAAATGAGCAGAAACAATCTAATCGCGAGTGGAATCATGAATCAGACTTTTCCCATCAATCGCGGCTCTTCTTGTAAAGCTTCTCAAACCAAGACACAATGAACATACATAAAAGATACAACCGATTCATATTTCCCATGGTCGGAAGCTTCCATATCAACCGTATTAGCACAGGAATACCGTGAAGACAACTTGTATCAAGAATGCTTAATCATATTCTATGCCAATCTATATGAACAAGTGAAGCGATGTTGCCATACGAATCACCAATCCTACGGCCGTCGGCCACAATATTTGTACCTAGTAGTGAACAGACTCCTCAAACTCAATCAAACTCAATAGCAGGCTCCGCTTCCTTCTTGTAGTGGACGGATTCCAGAAATTCGATAGCGGGCTCAGCTTCTTTCTTGTAGTGGACGGACTCCAAGAAATTGATAGCAGGCTCAGCCTCGGCTTCGCGCTTGTAGTGCACGGAGTCCTCGAACTCGATGGCGGGTTGTGCCTCCGGCTGAGCCTCCTTCTTGTAGTGAACCGACTCGAGGAAGTTGATGGCGGGCTCGGCCTCGGCCTTGGGATTGGCCTCTCTCTTGTAGTGGGCGGACTCGAGGAAGGAGATGCTGGCCTCTGCTTCGGCCTCAGGCTGTGCGACGGGGGCAGCAACAGCGAGAGAAGCGCCAGCGAGGAGGAGGATGGTGGAGGCCTTCATCTTGAGGTTTTTCAAATTGAGGTTTGGATGGGTGAGAAGTTGAGGGGCAGATTGTGAAAGTCAGGTTGAGAGGGGAGCGGAAGTCTGTCGATCACAGAGCAAGACTTCAGGTACATCTTTATACAGGCCAACCTGCTACTTCTGCGAATGCAGTTGCAATGACTTGGACATCTTCGGTGGTCTCGCAAGCTGCACTAAGGCAGAATGGGAAGCTGGCACTACACTGGCTTGGATGACCTGGTGCTGTCGGCGTTGGATCCGACGAAGTTGCCATGAACAGTTTCCTGGCCAGCATGATAACAGACTCCACCGACATGCTCCAGGAACTTCTGTTGCGGGGAGGGCCAGGGTCTTGGCATGATGACGTACTCTCACTGTATTATGGCGTTCGGTTTCGCTACATATTCACTTCCGGTGGATCTCACATCCTTTGTCAACTTCGAAATGCGGTATTCGCATTCACAAGAAGTAAGTAAGATGAGCTGCGGCAGTTATGAAAGCTTCCAGCTCAGACGCGACATGAGGTTGGATTGGCTTTGAGGTGATTCGTGCGTCGTGTGCTTCAGTGAAGCCTCGAAGCGGGATGATACCAACACAAGCTTTCTATCAAGAAGATCAAGCCTGCTTGGTCCGCAATAATTAGGACTCTGGCCCGGCAGACCCAGCCCCTTGGGCAGACGGGGACCACTTAGTTCGAGCGATCAGATTGAAATAAGCTTTCCGAAGTCGGCTGACTTGACCAGAAAGGAAGGTGAGTACCCATATCAAGCTGTCGAGTCAGGTTCGGGTAAGGGTTGAATGAGCTCAGAGCCGGGTGAATGGGGGTTAGAAAGCGGAATGCCGGCGACACCCTGCAGCTCAATTGGACGTGCAAATCAAAGTAATCAATTTCACATTGTATGCTCGTATAATGACCAGGAACCGTAGAACGCGCTGGAATCCCCAAGCGCGATATCATGATAGCGAGTCATGTTGGGTCGGGTTGCCCTTGCTTGTCAGCTCTGGCTCGTCCAGACCTTTGGGAAGACTCCTTATCATGTTTCCATGCTCTGGAACTTGACAAACCTCGAGACGACTTGTCATCAATTCTTGACCTCTTGTCCCGAGTCTCTCGACCAAGTCCAATTCATCAAAAATGGCGGGAAGATACTTCCCCTTAACTGAAGCGAAAGATGCCGCGGAGCCTGAGCTAGAGGGGTTCCTCTCGGATAGCGACAAGCCAAAAATGTACCCTCGCGGCGGCTCATCCAGAATGACCTTACGCGACAAGTTTGCTACCTCCTTATTCGTTGCCAGTTGCATCTTTTTTGGTCTTTCTGTGTGGATTCATTTGCATCCCAAGCCACCAACAGACCGACAATGCGTGAAGCAACTCAATGTTCCATGTATGTCACGACTGAAAGCCACCGACGGTTTCATAGTGTCTTTTGGCTAAACTCAACATTAGCACCAGTTCACGATGTCTTGGAGTACGAGGAAGTCCAATTCAACAACGCTTTCTGGAAGCCAAGCCCATACAAGGGTAAGCCGACACTTGAACTGGAGGCGAAATGGAAAGAGCTGTGGTATTGTAAGTTCACCATGCGAGCTTATAGCAGCTGTGGCCGCCGACTAAGGAAACATAGATGGTTCTTTCGACTTGCCGGACTCATACTTGCCCTCTATGAACAAGTCCTCTGGTGGAGTCGGGGGAGATCCCTGGGCCCGTACCGAGTCTGGAAATCTCCTGGCAGGGCTTGAAGTTTTTCACAACCTTCACTGCCTCAACCTTGTAAGATACTGTCTTTCCTACCAACATTGATGCTGACTGAGATCCAAAGGTGAGACAATATGCGCACAAAGACGAGTACGACTACAGCAACGATCCAGCGTTTCACGGAAGCCCCGAGCTTGTCCTAGCGGTGAGTCACCTAGATATCCCGTGTGGCAAGTCTGCCAAGAAGAGTCCACTGCGCGCGCATCAGACTTTCTGAGACTCGTACTCCTGTGTCTAAGATTCCTCGGCAATTCTAATTTCTTCCAGCATGTTGATCACTGCATTGAGGCGCTGAGAATTCGATTGCAGTGCGCCGCCGACGTTACACCATTTTTGCACACGAAGGGCGCCAAAGGCACGCAGCCGGATTTTGACTCGCAACATAGATGCCCCAAATACGATCGCATTGTGGGGTGGGCCAAGGAGCGGCAGATCATGGTCGAGAAGTCGGACTCGAAGGAAGGGCACGGGCATCATAGATGAATAATTATGCAGAAAAGTCCGGTACTAGGTGGTTAGGATTAAGGGCAGGATAGACGTGGCAGAGGTAAAACTAATTTGATATGCTTATAGTTGATTGGGAGTCCCATCCTGCTACGATACATCGCCAGATTTTTGTTGTCAAATAAATCAAATTGCATGTGCTTATCCCATGTCCGTGAACAGTGGACCATCTTGCGCCGGCCATCGTTTCCCCGAGGGTAAATCAAACAATGGTTCTAGGTTACATTGGCAAGCCCCCAAAACAATGGCTGAACATCGCCAAAAAAGCGACGCTCACAGACCCGTTATGTGCAGAGTGAAATGCATGTGGATATCATCTTAGTACAGACCGACGAGGATGTCACCGCGTACGCGGGCAGTGACGTGGACTTCGGCTTCCAAGTCCAACTTGATACCGACCATGAGAGCGGCCTTGGTCAGTTGACCCTTGTCGTCGACGGGACCCTTCAGGAGGTTGCCTTTAAGCTTATGTTAGCATGCTTGGCAACGGTGCCAGGGGCTGACGGGGAAGCTTACCGACGGGGCCGTTGGCGTTGCCAGAGAGGTTGGGCATGGGGACGGGCAGGCCAGGCTGGGGCATGCTGCGTCCGAGCTGACCGTTGTTGGGAGGGTAGGAGGTAGGGTAGGCGGGAGCACGCTGCTGCTCAGCGGCATCGGTCTTTTGGCTGGAGGCACTGAATGCATGAGCGATCTGCAGGCCAAGATGTTGGAAGAAGCTGGTGGGGTTTTACTTACGGAGAAGACATTGTGGTAAGGAATCTGACGACTTGGTCTTGGAGAGAAGTTTGGAGTTCTTCGGGTGAGCTGGCCTCGTCGAGTTCTTCGGGATTAAGAAGACCTCGTTCTAACAAGAACTGCTTGGATGGTGACTTTGGCGAGGGTTTAGGACTTTTGGCTTGGGGAACTTCAAGGTCTTTCGATGCGTTGTTGGCTTCGACGATAGAAGTCAAAGAAGAGAGGGAGCGTTGAACGGAATGGCGTTTCTTATCAACTGGTGATTCGGATTCTTGAGGAAGAGAAGAAGCTCGAGAACGATTTCCGTTGTTGACGGGAGGGAAGTTATTATTGTCGGTTGAGACTCGGATGGGTAGTTTGAATGAGAGGGATCTTCTGAGAGCTCCTGGCGCAGCAGAACTGTCTTCGGGTGGAGGAGGTGTTGGAGTAGGAGTTTGGGACGGGGCCGGTTTTGCAGGGGTCTCGGCAGGGATTGATGCAGCTGATGCAGAGAGGCGCTTTGACGACGTGCTAGAAGCTCGGGATGCGTGGCCTGGTCTCTTGGGGATTGGTGGCTGCTGCTGCTGAGGAGGAAGCTCGAACTTTGAGGATATCGTGGCGATCGGGGAACCTGTTCCCACAGACTTTTGCTTTTTATGTTGTTCTATTGCGGTGTTGAGAGGTTGCGATTGTTGTGGTTGTTCGGCCTGCTTAGCCATCTTCAAGTTGGAGGGGGAACATGAGGAGCTTTAAGCTTCAAATGCGAGCGCGGCCGAAAGAACCCGGTATAGATAGTTGATGCTATCATTTTTCTCCGTCCGTCCATCCTAGACAAACTTGCAACAGGAGCAGAGGCGGCTTTGGAGAGCCAACTGACATCGTCCGATGTTGAAACCAGCCGCTCGGATCGAATTTCGCGTGCTGTGTTTTGTCAGACTTGGCCAGACCACGCCGACCAACGACTCTCGCTCATGCGGATAACGGTCGCGTTTCCAGAACATCTGAAAATTGGCCAGCGTGGTACGATTCGACTGAGTAGATAGAACGTTTTTTGGTTGCATCGGGGCTCGTCTGTGTCTCAGAGTGTCTTCATGGGAGGCTCGGCAAGGGTCGTGTGCCCACCATACCCATGTCAGCAACCCTTATGCCGGGGAGTTTCAATGGCATCGATCAGGGGTCCTCGAAGATCTGCAACATGGGAATCGCATCTGACATTTTGCAAATGAGCCCATCGAAATCCGATTTCTCCTCCACTGCGGTAGCATTTGGCACATCTACCAGGTGCCTACCGGCGCGTTCCACAAACATCAGTCGATAATCTTCAACTTATTCAACGTCTGTTCTGATCTTATGGAAGTTTCAAAAGGGTGAAACGGCTCAAGCAACACCCTGACTTAACGGGGTTGAAGATCCCCCCGAAACCATCGTTACCACAGTAAACCCCCATTGCCACGTCGTCTGAGCCGATGTTCAACGGCCCTCACAATCCATCCTTCAAAGCAAAAGAGACACGTTGCTCGACGAGAACTATTACTTGACAAGAAAGCAAACACATTTCTCGCGCTCACCTGCCCTTGTCGCATTGATTCAGGCGCTCATCGCGAGCTTCCCATGGGCCGTTTTTTATCTTTCGATTCTCGTTGTCAAGCGTACCTTGCAAATCATTGAGACGCTCAAGTGGAGATGGTTCTGTCACTCCTAGTCAGCTTCGGCACGGCCGTCGGTGCCCATGAGGGCATCAAAGCCTCCATGGCCAAGTCCCGAAAGGAGGAGCATCGAAGTCGGAAGAACAACCTTATTGTCCACTGCCCCAAGTCATCCCAGTACAGCCCTTATCTCGAGGGGCGGCGGGTGGTACTATCCGGAGACAGGGCAAGTGACCTCCCCACCACAAAGTTTGACAGATGATCTGACAATGCAACAGCTTTACATTGACACTGGCACCGCTCACGATGTCCCTTTCGGCCATCCCTTTGAGGGATACTACATCCCTTATCCCGACTCTCGGTACGCGGGGCTGGTGACCACCATCACGCCTGAAGCACCAATCATGAACTGGGTGTTTATGGACCCTCTCACTTACTCATTCCAATTTGGTGTTCGTGCTGTGGCAGATGCCAACCTGACTGGGCCCTGGGATTGCACCCGTCAAGATCGCCGACTTACTTTCTGCGGCTGGGAAGGATTTTGTGCCGTTCTTGAGGATAGTGGCGTTTGGGGTCTATACTATGACTTCGACGGCGATGGAATGAGAAAGAAGTTTGGCCAAGAGGGTCGCGTGGTGATTGAGATTGAGCTCATCAGAAGTGAACTCAGAACACCAAAGCCAGAACCTGAACCAGAGCCCCAGCCAGAGCAAGACGTGACTGCAACAGCTGAGCAGAAAGATGAATCGGCTCAACAAAAAGGAGAAAACTCGACAGAGCCAGAGAGTTTCAGTCCAGAGAGAGTCGATGCTCCATCAAAACCTGTCCAGGAATTCGGGGTCACCTTGGAGGAGAAGATGGAGAGGATGTATGTTGGAAAGGTGGAGGATGAGGAGACTTACTCTGTAATATCTGAGCCATTATCGACAATGTCTACGCTATCGACAGCCAGCGGTGGCATGCCAAAAAAGAGGAGGAAAAGGAGAAGCAGGGCAAAAAAGTACCAGAGCCCGAGCATTGAGAATTCGGAAGAAGAAAAGGGACAGCTGAGGTCTAAGGCCTAGGACATGGGATATGCGATATAAGTTGGGGAAGCCTCATGGCTGTAAGGTGCCAGTGAAGGATCAGACGAGGCAGATTTGCAGGGACTGAACTTTCTTTGACAGCGCAGAAGGGCATTGTAGCCGGAGCAAGTCGTTTAAACAAAGCCACACTCTCGGTCAATGACTCCTGGAAACGGGCCATCCGTCCGAGTGAATTGTGACTGCGGCCCCTAGTAGGATCGCTGGGAGGGGTCATAACACAAGGGTCGCTGGCCAGTTCGCGTAGCGTCATCCGCATGGGTTTAAGGGTATTGTAGCCGATGAGACGGGGAGACGTTTCCAACTAGGGCAACAGCTGACAGGTGAGGCATTGTCGTCGGATCCGGCTGGGAGGATACCTTACCTCAGCTGTCACCACTCCGAATGGGCCCTTGTTTCAAGCCGGCGCCGGCCAAATCATTATCCTGCGATGGAGCTCAATGCTAGTGAAGGCCAAGTGATCGTAAAATGTGATAGTTGAGAAAAGGAGATATCGGTTGAGCATCATTGGAGGTGAGATCTGACAAGGGCGGATATCTATCAATCAGACATCTTTTCAGAATTGAATATGGCCGAGGCCACCTTTTTGAGTCCGATGTCGATTCAAAGATCCAAGTGTTTGACCTCGTTTCACGTGATAAAGCTGTTGATACGACCTCACAATGCTGGGCAGAGACGATGTTGGGAGTGAATGTCAACTCGAAAGTTTTGATGAAGACTGATGAAGATAAAATGGTCTTGACTCCTCGCGTTTTTTATCCGAGTCCACCAAGCAAATTAATTGACCTACCAACCAACCAGACATACACACAATCAGTCAATACCATTTTCATCACAGCGGTAGAAAAGAGCAACTCAAACATACAATATTTCAGTCTTCAGGCCAGTAACTCGATCAAGAAAGTCCTAAAGCCACCGTCAAGCTCGTCATCGAGTAAGAAACAAACCCTGCGCCTAATTGCAAATGTTGACAAGATGAGACTAGATATCTTTCCCACCTTACGCAATGCCTAGAAACAACACCGCACTCAAAGCCATGCGCGCTCGTCAAGTCGAGCGATTCATCACTCATCTAAAGTCGAACGATCCCAACAACGAGCTGGTTAACCTTGTTAGCACTAGCGACGTCTCAGAAGCGAAGAAAATGGCAAAGCTCTCTACTGCTGACTCTGATGAGGAGTGTTGGCCGGAAACCTGGAACAACGGTGGCACTGCTTTCAAGACCTTTTTCAAGCGCCACTTCCTCCGATGGGCAACATCTCAACGTGCTCGGGATGAATATGATGGACCTGCCAAAGGAACTCGATCGCAGGTCGCCAAGCACCTGGCGGAGCAGCAGTCTGCATGAAGAAGCCGCATTTGTCATAGGGATTTTAGGGCTAGAGCACCATCTTGGATTTGATTTGTTTCTTCTGCTATGTATTTAGGTGTGTCACGGGTTTGAGAATATAGACTACTGGAGGAGGCGCATCAAAAGGGTTTAAGCATACAATCTACGAAAGCGGTAGATCTGTTGATTCTTTGAGATGATGTCTAAATTATGAATCTTTTGAGTACTCATAAATAATTTGGTTTTCGGTGCAATAACAAGAAGTCCGTATCACGAGCTTTTCCTACAACCAACTTCTAGCCACTAACTTTATGCAAGTTCGAATGTTTTCCTGATTTGATCATGAGTCCAGTTATTTGCAAGACACAGAGCCAAGAGAATGCGAGCCTTCTGAGGGTTAAGATCGTTCCCAGCGATAATGCCCAGTTTTTGGTGCTGCTTGCTGTCCACAACCACTCCCGCTCCAAGCCTTGACGACTGCACCACAGTGACTTGCCCGTTGGAATCTTCAATGGCTTCACCAAAGGCAGCAATCTCGGCTGGTGTGCCCAAGCCTGGTCCGAACCCGGCCGACACGATTCCTCTAGCACCAGCAGCAACGCAGGCTCTCACCATGGCTCCATCGGAACCGGCATGACTGTACACAATATCCACACGAGGCAATCCATCACGCAGCAGATCAGGCGAGAACTTGTTGCTGGGAGAACTTAGAAGCTGCGACGTGATGTTGACCGTGTCTCCATCAACGTATCCGATTGGTCCTCGCCATGGAGATTGGAAAGCTCCAACGCGAAGAGTATTCGTCTTAGTGACGGTCCGAGGCGAGTGGATCTCATCGTTGATGACTACAAAAACGCCAGGACTATTGGGATGCGTGTGCTTATCCTTCGAAAATTCATGAGACGCCACTCGAAAGGCTGCCAACAGGTTGGCCGCTGCTTCGGAGGACTTCCCATTCAGGGGACGCATACAGCCAGTGACGACGACGGGGATGTCTAAATCCAGAACAAGGGAGAGAACCCAGGCTGTTTCTTCAAGACTAGCAGTCCCGTGGCCAACGACGATGCCCTCGATCTTGTCCTTCGGGTATCCCTTCTGAGCCATCGTGTTGCATGTCTGGGCGATCGCGAACCAATCTTGAGGTTGTATAGCGGTGCTGTCGATCGGAGGCTGGAAGTCGTGGATGACCGGCTTAGCGCCATGGAATATCTCCGAGATCCCACTCTGATCAAGTATCCGTTGTCCTGAAACGCGTTCGTCTGTAGCGTTGTAGTCCATAAAGTCGAATTCATCCATGGCGATGGAAGCGATTGTGCCGCCGGTGGAAATAAAACCAACTCTTTTCGTCAGCTTCTTGACACCAGAGGCTGTCCTTGCGCCTTCAGATAGCTGCGTTGTAGAAGGTGTGTCATTTGGAATATGAGGATTATCCTTGACTGAGGGGTAAGGTGATGATCTGGAAGGATTCGCTGCGTGGTGCCGCCGAGACGTGATGTTTCTAAGGACTGTCATGTTGAAGTTGTTGTTGCGCACCGCTAAACGAAGTGACCACAGCTCGTTTCAAGGCAGTTCGCCTCAAGAACAGGATTCGAAGGGACTGTCGCAATGTTCGAGGGTAAATAGTGACAGATGGAAGTGCATGGAAAGATAGCACCAGACAATGACGGGAGCTTTGAGCATCCTAGTCTGACGAGGGAACCAAAACGGCTCCGTAAGTAATTTGCCGGCAGTACTATCCCGCGGTTTCTTGCGTAACGTCGGAAGGGCGGAAGACTTGCCACGATTGCGCTATCTTCGGGAGGACAAAAGACAAATAAATTAGACAGGACTCGTGTATCTCAGAAACAAACTAATCAGTACGACGGTTGGCCCCCTTTCTGTCGCATGAAACGTGTGCGACAATCAGGTGTGTTGATGCCTGCACGCTTGGCAAGATAACCTTTCGTGGGACTGGGCGGCGGGAGACGCGTCCTCAAGTGGCATCGGCTTCGCACACAGCCAGTGGATTACACGTAGCTCAGTAGCCAAGGGCCGACGGGCACGTGTCCAAAGATGCTGCTGTTTGAGGTTGTTGCCGCTTGGCAGGAGCAAAAAAGCACATGGTCCCAAGATCAGGCCGTCTACCCCGGTAACTGTGCCTTCTGAATTGTCGCTTTCCGATGAAAACATGACTTGGAGACTGAGATAAACTGGGCGACGCCGTGAGAGTACTAGGAATAAAGGTAGGCAAGCCTAGGACTCCGTGGGGGAACCATAAGCATTGGCTACACGTCAAAATACAGACTGGGGGTCCTAGAACATACTACAACATACGAAACAAACAAAAGTCATAATTCGTCGAGGACCTACTTCGTCCTTGTCTAAAATAAAAAAAAAAATAAAAAAAAAAGGAACTGTTACAACATGGCGCCCAAGGCCATCGGAGCAGTTTTTTGCCAGAACAAGTGTCTAGGCCATCGCATATCCCATAACGCCGAAATAGACCACCACACCGGCACACCTTCACTTATTCTTCCTTCTCTTCGTCGTTGTCGTACCGGCCCAGGCGGCCCAACGGGCTCACCATGAACACGTCCTCCCAACGTCCGCTCGCAGCCTTTCCGTCCCAGTCACCGCCACTGTACAGCGGAAGACGGAGTTTTCCCGTGCAGTGCTCGTCGATAAAACGGCAGACCTTTTGCATGTCGCCGACAGTGAAGTCATCCATGAACCACAGCATCGTCCGAGGGATGTCCGCCGGGCTGAGACGTTGGGTCTGGGTGGAGGTAGGTGCAAGAGAGGACGCGCGTGTGCTCTTTCGGCGCGTTGGAAGCTGTGGAGACGCGATGAGGGTGGCATCGTCGCTAGGAAGTATCTTGGACTGTCGCCGCGTGGATTTCGGGGTTGCCTGGGCAGCCTCAGCCGGAGGTTGTGATTGTCTGCGCTTTGTGGCGGAGGATTTGGTCACGGGCGTCTTCGTCGCGGGCGTCGACTCGTATCTGGAAGCTGTTCGGCATCATCAGCAAGTATTCCAGCACAGTGAAAAAGCAAGAGCAAGGGCCCGAGAAACTTACATCGTCGACGTTTGTCGCTCGTGGCCTCGGACTGCTCGGCGAGACTCTCACGCTTGCGCTTCGCACTGAGCTTGGCAGGTGTCGCAACCGCCTCAACTGCGGGCTTCACTTCTTGTGCCTCAGCCGCAGACTCCTCCATGCGCAAGTGGCCGAGAAGTGCAGCCTTGACGTTGTCATCGTCTACATAACCGCAATAATCGATCAACACGTCCGGCGCGTCGACGCGAATCTTGTTCGCGGGCTCCCACGAGACATCCTCGCCTTCGGTCGAGTAGCCCAGCCACTGCACCAGCACTTGCCACTGTCCGCGAACGCGACGGTGTTTGAGAAGTCTGTAGGGGTGGTAAAGCTCGCCGATTTTGAGGACGTCTTGACGTGTCTGGCCCTTGAAGCTAGCCCAGTATTCGTAGAGAAGCCCAGGAAGATGTTCTTGGATATCCCATTCGGACACGTCAATCCGGTTGCCTTTTGAGAGTGCAATGAGGGTCACGAGGGCAGTTTCGGGGTCGATGGTATGGCCGACAATTTTCTTAATCGTTTCGTACGGGAAATCTGCATCTTGAAGATTTAGCGGTGAACCTGATAAGCTGGATTAGTGACGGTGAGTACTGGCAGACTTACCTTGCTCAGAGAGCTTTGAGCGGGGTCTGCCTCGAGGCATGTTTGCTGCGCTTGGATAAAGAATTACTTTTTCGTGACAATGGAATGTGGTGCTTGGAGATGCGACAGGCAAGTTCGTGGTTCTGTAAGTTGTCGCGCTCTAGACGCGTTCGCGTCGATCGGAACCCTGTTTTATTTTTATTTTATTTTTTCCCTCGGTTCCTGACGGGCCGGCCTTCGGGCCCGAAGTGGGGCCCCTTGGGTGGGGCCCGAATACGCCGTCTAAGTCGGCAGATTGATCTGCGAGGCCCGAAGTAAAATCAGACACCCTCTTCCCACGGTTCTCTGATTAAGAATAGCATGACTTTGAGTCTTTTTCTGAGATGCACAATTATTCGGGGGGTGTTGACCAACAGCTGGGAGTTGAAGACTACCTAGATGATACTTCAGAAGCAAATCATCCCTATCCCTCTACGCAATCCAGCCTGATTCCAGCACATGCCTATCATTTGTTGATCTGTGTCTTTGGCATGTCACATGCTACTTACTAAGGATGCGTGCAAGTCTGATTATGAGGTCGTTCAAGAGTGCTGTGACGGCGGACATTGTCCATGAATTAATAGGAGCACGGCCCTTGGAGCTGAACAGTACATATTCAGTGGATTTGAGCATCACACCCAAGCTATCAGCAGTGATTTCCTGAGATTCAAAGCCTCCTAATATGTGGCTACCCTTTCCATGAGTCACAAATGTTTCACGAGATATATGATTTTTGCTTGAGAGAAGTAGTCGAAAAGAGGATTTGGGTGCCACTTAAATTGATTAAGGCCTAGACGGCCGGTGTTATGTTATGTTCATCGCACCAAAGCTAAATACAGTAGAAGAATTGTTTACAAAATTTGTATGGGTATCCACGTTCCCTCATTCCCAATTTGCTCATAATGCGCCGTGGCTCCGCGCTGCGAACCGCGATGGAAGATGTCGTTGCAGATGTAGCTCGGATGCCTGCGGGTATGGCTTACCTCCCCAGGCTCGAGGCATTCAAGTACGGCATGAAGCCGTTTATCGGAAGTTACCGCTGCCGTTGCAGCGAGACAGAGGGATGGAGCTCTGCTTCTTGATGCAGGCAGTGATGGCGCCGCCAACCCAGGTGACACCCTCGTAAGAGCCATCCCTGAAGATATGGTTAGCTCAAGTATCATTAATGGATAAAGGTTGAAACTTACTCGTGAGAGTCGGCCATGAAAGTACCAGTCTGCTTAAGCGCGCCAACGCAGCCCTGGAAGGTGCGGCCGTACTTGCGGTTGGTCCAGGGACGGGTGATAACGACACCAGTGTAGCCAGGGTCGACAGTGCCACGGATGAGGTAACCCTGAGTGGTGGTCCAGGTGCGAGAATAGTCGACCTTGAAAGTGAGACCGAGCTTCTCAATCAGCTTGCTCATATCGAAAGAACCACCAGCAGTGACGCCGTTGGAAATCGCGTAGGACTTGGAGATGGTGATGTCGATGCCCTTGCTGCCGGCACCGATGACGACAGGGGACATCTGCACGTCCCAGTCGACAAAGCGCATCTGCTTGTCGACGACGAACTGGTAGTTGGCGTTGCAGTCACGCTTGCCGAGGGCAACGTCGGTGTGGTTGACGGGGATCTCGGCAAGACCCTCGCCAGCCTTGAGGTAGTCGTGGTCGATCTCGGGAGTCTCGGCCTCAATACCCTCAACCTTCAGAAGAAGGTCCCAAGTGTCCTGAGTAATGATGGCGGCTGTAAAAGTGATGCAAAGTCAGTACGATTCAATTCCGGTGGTTGAGGCACGCTTACTCTTGCCATCCTTTCCGAAGACAATCATCTCTCCATTGCGGAGGTTACGGTCGAGGGTCTCGGTAATGTTGAGAGCGGGATCCTGCTCGGCGAGGATGGGGGCGGGCGCGGCGCTGACTGCAGCAGCGAAGGCCGAGAGGAGAGCGATCATGCGAGTAGAAACCATGTTGGGCAAATTGAAGGGATGTTTGAGACCAGAGAGAAGTAAGTGGATGAGGATGAGAGTGATGAGGAATAGACAAAACTTGGCGGGATTCTACAGAGGTTTTATAGATATCTGCAAGAGTATCACGACCTGGTGTTTCCGACTCAAGAGATAAGCTTCAGCAGTCACATCAATGATCAACAATGTGGCGCGCCCGCCCGCTTGCCTTCGCCTGGATCGTCTGGAGTTGAGGTTGCGTTCATCCGACTGTCGGTCACTAGTCAAGCATGTTCCCTACAAGCCTGTCCCCGCAGAATGGGTCACCCTGGACCTTGTTCGTTGGGTGGACC